TTTTTTTTTTTTTTTTTGGTAGGTTCAGTGGAGCTTCACGTTCCCTCCTGCCAGTTCTACACTGATGGAACATCTGGACTATTACTGGCATAAGACAAAAAGTAGGGTAGACGTTGTTCCAGTGCTTAAATTCTGCCTGGAGAAACATAGTCATTTATACCTGCATTTCACTGGTTGGAGCGAGTCACGTGGTAAAACCTGTTGTTCCAATGGTGTCATGGGAAAGGGCAATGAACAACTGTAAACAATAAGCAATTTACAACCTCCTCATGTATCATCCACATTGCTCCATTTATGTTAGTTTTTTCATTCAGAAAGAAAGTTAGATGAAGACTACTATGACAGAGACAGAAGAAATAGGAGTAAGAATAAGTTTAAGGGGAAGATGATTTCAGTTTTAGAGATTTGAGTATAAAGTATCTAGCAAATTGAAACAAAAATCATCACAGTGGATCATTAAACGAAATTTGGAGTTACTTAAAGGAAAATGAGTGTTTGATGTTGGATGTGTACTATAATTGATTTTACATAACTGCAATTTACATTTGGAATATTTAGTTTCTTAATAAGAAATAAGAATAAGTCATAAAAATAGAACTCCAAGTTGGGCCCTGTGGCTTGTGCCTGTAGCCCCAGCTATTTGGGAGGCTGAGGTAGGAGGATTGGTCAGTCTAGTTAATTTAGTGACCCTGTTTCAAAATAAAATAAAAAGGGCTGAGAGTGTAGCTTAGTGATAGAGAACCTCTGGGTTCAATCCCAAATGCCACAAAACAATAATGCCAACAACGATGAAACCTCTGTTTATTGCTGAGAGCTGCTATATAAAAACTCAAGCTACTCTTAAAATTCTGCAAATATGGGCTATATTTTCAGTTGTTTTATTTGGTATTGTGTCCTTCTCCATCCCATTGTTGCCTGGAAGTTTCAAAAGCACTCAAAAGAGGAGCTTGGTTTTCAAAGACGTACAATTTTGGCGGAAATTTCAAGAGACCAGGAAGAACAAACGAGGAAGCACAAAACATTTTATTGACTGAGGAGATCTAGCTAAATTAGGTCAATGTTTAACTTGTCTGACACTTACTTCCCACATATGACATTGTCTTAAGGATAGGGTGCTCCTAAATTAGCAAGAATTATGATTAAGATTGCTGAGCCTAGGCCGGGGATTTAGCTCAGCAGTTCCGCCGCCTGCCTTGCAAGTGCAAGGACCTGAGTTCGATCCCCGGTACCCCCCCCCCAAAAAAAAAGATTGTTGAGCCTAGTAGGCAAATGAAAAGAAAACAAATGTCTTTTCCAGTCTTATCATAACACTTGGAAAACCCAGTAAACTAAATTAGTGCTCCAACAAGAGAAAGCAGTCTGTGTTTGGAATCATCAATAATGCCGTGTATTTTATTCCTTCCTTAAATTATTATACTTCATTAAGTTATGGTATTCTTAATTGCTTGTCCAAACTTTTCTACTATGAAGTAGAAGATTTTTATATTGGAAAGTGATGTTACCCAAACTGAAACATTAAAAGGCCCAAAAGGACACTGATATTCATGATATCCTCAAGTAAGTCAGATCATAACATGAAAAACTATAAAATTCTGTCTGTGGTGAATGTTATGAGGGGAGGGTGAGTGGCTATAGAAAAAAATTTATTATAGGATTTGTGACTTAGTTTGGTAAAGGTGTCTTTAAAGTAGTTGAAAAGGGGAAAATGAATCGACACAGGTCTGGGCAAAGTCGAGAAGGGGAGAACGCCACGGAGGAGGGACTGAAAGCAGGCCCGGGTGCCAGCAGCAGAGAAAGCATAAGAAATCATGGGTTGAGTTGATGTTGCAGATGTGCGTGGTTCACCAACTACACCAGGTACCTGGACACACAGGGAATTTGCAAGTGGGAACAACAGACTAGAAAAGGTCCCAGGGAATGTGCGTAGACCTGTTACGATGCCATTGTAGTTGTGAAAGGAAAGACAGGCTAGGGTAGTGTCAGAGAAAATGGCAAGAAAGTTCCTATTACAGAGATATTCAAGAAGTTGAAATTATAATGTTTGATAATAGATTTGAGGCAGGGAATGAGAGAAACTGAAGTGTTACACATATTACCTTCAGGGGTTTCTAAGTATAGCAAGAAAACAAAAACACCAAGAAAAAGGTTTAAAATATAGTTCCTGAATAAGTCCAGTGGTTATTTATCACAGTTGAGGACAGAAACAAATGTTTATGAAACTTTAATTTATATGTGCTGGCAATGATTTGTGTGCACCAGCAGAGGAAAACGAAGTTCTCTTTTCGCATGTAGTATAAGCTTCTTTGTTCGGGATAGCTTTTCACCAGACTGTGACCCAGGAGGATGGACCCTGGGTCTTGCCTATATCTCCCACAGGAGACTGAAGTACAGAACCGGCATAGCAGCCACTCAACTATTTGCCAAGTAACTGAGTCATGAATCAAACCTCAAATTTTCTAGCCTCTAAATTATTTGTAGTGTAATTATACATTTATAAGGAAAAGTCTTTATACAAAGTTTTACCAAATTCAGAGTTCTAGTTAAAACTGTTACAGTTTAGATCTAAATTTCCCCCCAAAAGTCTCTCATTCGGAGGCAGGCCTTTGATCCAAGTGGATGGATCATGGGCCATTGTGATCATCAGTGGGTTAATCCATTGATCAGTGGTTTAATCCATGGATGAACTCACGTCGGTGTGAGCCAAAATGAACCCCTCTTTCCTTAAATTGTGGGTATCTGGTATTGTGTTCCAGTGATGGGAAAGTAGCTAATACAATAACTTCATTTCTTCATTTACATTTTAGCTATTTAACTACTGTGGTTCTAACCAAATATGGTTATATGACCGATATAGTCACTTTTAACTGTTTGTTTTCAGAGCTAACAATAGCAATTATAGGATAATGGGTCATATAGTCCTACTTTTTCATATAGGAGACTGATAAATTTTTATATCTCTCAGTGTGGTACTTTTTAGCAAAATTAAAGGACATGTGAAACAAATTAACAGTCAATTTATGTACTTACAGATCTTGAATACTAGTTTTTCAATCCTTGTCAGCAGATGGCAGTACTTTACCTTATTTAGGTAATAGAGGTTTCTTTTCTGCAGGACACAGAATTTCCATTCAGTCTGTGAAATAAACAGCAGGGTGTTTAACACTTATACTTTTCCTTATACGTTTTGACCCTAAATGAATATTGTAGAATAGGGACTGTTTTAGATAAAAAATAATTTATACTTTTTAAGCAAACTTAAATTTTTAAAAACTTTTTACACTTGACCCTTTTAAAAAAAAAAAACTTGCTTTATTGCAAGCAATTCTCATTTTTGTAAGCAGGAAAACTCAGTTTACTATTTAGATTTATTTCTAAGAAAAATCAAAATTAAACAATAATCTTGTAAATACAATTTCAATAGTGTATAAATTGACATGGCGTAGTTAAAAGTTTCCATTTCTCATTTGTAAGATAAATCTCAAAAACTCTGAAGTTTTGAGCTGAGCATGGTGGCCCATGACTGTAACCTCAACACTCAGGAGGCTGAAGAATGCAGATCATTACAGGTTTGAGGCCAGCCTGGGGTACACAGTGAATTCAAGGCCAGAATGAACTACGTATTAAGACTTTGTGTCAGAAAAAACAAAAAAAAAGAAAACTGAAGTTTCAGACTTGGGACTGAGTCAGGAGACCCAGGTTTCATTCACATTGCTACATGGTTTGCACAAAACGTTCTCTGTTTTTTGTTTTTTTTTTTTCCATACTGGGGATTGAACTCAGGACCTTGTGCTTTCAAGGCAGCAGTGTGCCACTGAGCTAAATCCCTGCACAAAATGTTCTTTAGAAACCATTTAATTATTATTATTTTTTGGCCAAATTTTTTTGTAAGTGAAATTAATCTAATGTATGTACTGTTACATTTAACTAGTAAAAACATCATAAAGATGGCTGGGGATTTAGCTCAGTGGTTCTGCTGCCTGTCTCACAAGCACAAGGACCCAAGTTTGATCCCCAGTACCAAAAACAAAAACAAACAAAAAACATCATAAAGATGGCTGGGGATTTAGCTCAGTGGTTCTGCTGCCTGTCTCACAAGCACAAGGACCCAAGTTTGATCCCCAGTACCAAAAACAAAAACAAACAAAAAACATCATAAAGATTGTAGTTTTAAAAGTCTAAACTCTTCATAACTATAAAGAAATCTGAGAGGATTGAAAATAGATTTCAGCTTCATAAACACCTCATAAATAGTAAATTCCTTTTAAAAACACTTTTTCTATGATAATCCTGGTCATTATGACGAACAAGAGCACATATTGCTACTATTCAGATTTCTCATGTACTCTGAAATTTAAAGATCTTTACCTTTTATTATTTATTTATTATTTACTTAAGTAGAAACAATACACCAAGCCACACTCGCCAAGAAAATGAATGCTCCCCTATCTCCTCTGAATGTAAGCACTCATAAGAACAACAGAAAATGTCTCTAATTGGAACTTTCTGAAAGCATTTCCCCCAATTAGAGTTCAGTAATGACCCTAAATGGGTCTGTCTTGGGGACAGCTCATCAGTTAATTACAAGGAGTTCTCTGAACTGAGGAGTGAAGAATGATACTCAATTTCCATCAGTGCAGATAATTCGGCTTGTCATTATTCACTTGGATCTTTAGCAGGCCATCAGCAGAAGATGTGGAATACAAATATGACTAGTTTTCTAAAGAACAGAGATTGTGAGAATAAAACTGCACATTTACCATGACCATCTTCTGGTCTGGAATATGCTTTTCCCAAACGTTCAGTTCTCAGGATCCCCAGAGACTTTCATTTGCTTGCTCAGTTTCTCTTCCATCTGGTTCTCTGAAACAAGAAAAAACAACATGGTAATACTATTGTTGCAGCTAATAACCTGGGAGGGGGGGGGAATACATTTTAAATGTAACAATTATGCAATGTGGTGCACTAGTAATTTTTGTGTGAGTATATTAGTTAAAGCCTTAATTCTTTGTGATTTTTGTGTCCTAACACAATTTAGCACTCTGTGTTCTGGTAATATCTTGGAATTCTAGAATTTACTGATGGGTATTTCTGGGATAATACTACTTGCCAATGTTTAAATTAATTATTTAGTCTCAAAAACAAATGTAAAGGAAATACTTGTTTAAAGAGTAACTTTTCAGTACACATTATTTATCCTAACAATTGCCAAAGTTGCTTTTATATTCATTTTTAAATTTTCTTGGGCTGAGGATTTAGCTCAGCGGTTCTGATGCCTGCCTTGCAAGTGCAAGGAACCGAGTTCGATCCCAGGTACCACCAAAAAAAAATATTTTTTTCTTCCTCTTTGTCTCAGGCATTTTTCATGAACCTTTTAAGCCATCCTCTCTCCTTTACAGTTGTTTTGCTTATGTTCATAGAATTTTCGGTCATATTAAAGCAAGCACAGGTTTTGCTCATTGTTGGGCACACCCTCTGGGTCCTTCCTGTCCGCAATCACCTCCTTCGTGGATGCTAAGTTGGGAAATAGGCTGGTGGTGCTGAACTGTTTAGAAATGGCATTGCACGCCTGCCCCTCCATTCCCAGAGGAGTCTGCTGCACATGCCCGGATCTCCTTCCATCTGGCCCCGCACAAAGGGTTTATCCCACTTTAGCACAATTCTTTGTTTTATAGAGGACCTTGAGTTCATCGGCGAGTGCACGCATAGGAAACAATAGTCATGTTGCGGGGGAACCTGGCCTGATCAATTTCATTTTTTTAAATACCTAGGCCTAAGATTACAGAGAAACTACATTTAACCGGCAACGAAGACTAAAGGTAAGCACTGTAATGAAGACAGACCTGAAATAGCTGCAAAAAAGTAAATGTGAAGGGTCTGATTTCTCTGGATTCCATCCACCATTGTAGCACTCCTGCTTCTGTGGCTTCTGGAGGTGGGGGGAGAGAGAGAGAGAAGCTTGCTTCATTTATTTCTGTCAGTTACTGAAAAACCTTTGTGAGATTTTGTTTGTGAGACATCATGAAAACTGCGTGAACATTATTACAATATATTTTTCAACATAGAATATTTAATAATAAAGTAATACTGAATTTTTCTTCCTTTAGTGCAAACAAAATTTCAACTACGAGTCCTGAAACTTCATATTTAATTGGGAATCTTTTAAAATGTGTTTTGCGTACAACGTTTAAGTCAACTGTCTCGCTGTGTGTATTTCTATCATCCAATAGGGTTTTTTTCTTTCCCCTCCACAGTTTTATGAGTGAATACCTAAAAGTCAAGGCTATGGTGCACGTTTTTGGTTTCAAGTACAAGCGTTACTAGTACCTAAGGATACGGTAACTGAAATTTTAACTGGGTACAGGTTACTCTGTGAAGATGAAAGAAAAACAGTCTCCTTTCAAAGGATACTAACATTTTTATTAATTACATTTTAGCTTTGTTTTTGCAACATTCTTCTCGGAGCTTTGAAATCCCTACATTTTTATAATTATAGAATCTTAGATTTGAACTTTAAAACAATTCATTTTAAGTAGTCTAAAACTACATGTTCATTTGGGCTCTTGAAGGAATAACCTTTGAACACCTCTCGTCTGTCCTTCTCAAAGGCAAGGTGCTTTTGTCCATGGCAGGCACCCAGAAGCAGAAGCCCCAGAGCTCCTCCCACACGCATCTCGGGATGGGCCTCGGTGAGTTCGGCGGCACAAATGGATCCAATTCCCGAGGCGCCACGGGCCACTCAGAAGCAAACAGCAAGCCCTATTGCTTCATCTCCACAAGGGGGAATTCTCACCACTTCCCCACTCGGTCCTCCGCGAGGGAGTCCAGTCCTAACTGCTGACTCAGTTGTCCCCACGCCCAGAAGCGAAGCGCGACCCACATCGTGTTTGGGTTCCACAACGGAGGGCCACACCGTCCTCGGGTCCCCAGAGCGCACTTCGGTGCACGACAGTGCCGGGGGCTGTGGAGGTGCAAACAATGCCCTTTGCTGGAGGGAAAAGAGAGCCCCCGGCTTCGGGCTCCGCACGCCAGGACCCGGAGGAAGGCGCCCTCTGAGATGGGCTCGGGCGCAGGCGGGAGAGCGCAGGCGGCGCGGTGA